CCCCCCTTTGCCCCGTATCCCTTGATACCCTGAGCTAACAGACATCTCTCCACATCAGTCTTAACTGATCCAGCATCTGCAGCCCTTCGGAGAGAAAGAGAGAGAGAGAGCTCTAGATTTCCACTCGCCTTTCCGTGTAACAATTCTTCACTCCTAAATGGCCTGGCTTTAGTTTTAAGATGATGACCCCCCCCCCCCCCCAACCACCCACCCCACCAACCCCACCACTCCACTGTTCTGGATTCCCTCCCACCCACTAGCGGAAATAATCGTGGTTCAGGCAACGGCACGGAAAGAGCAGGTTGCCATCGCGTTCTGCTGAAGTCAAGTGAGGATTAAGAGCGAGCGATCGATCAATGACTCCGGTAATTAATGGGATGTTTCTCACCGTGGTCTTTGGCCTGGACGTTTGGCTGAGCAAGTGAGCGAGCGAGCGAGCGAGCGAGAAGTGCTGAGCGTTTGACGCCGGTTCATTAAGGCGTTCCTGGTTTGATTGCAACCGGAATCTCATTCCGCCGTGGGGGGGGGCGGGGGGTCTTACGATTCAATTAACGTGCGGATGAGTTTGACGAGGGAGCTGAAAGGGAGTGGGAGGGGGGAGAGAGAGAGAGGAGGAGGGTGGTGGGGTGGGGGGTGGGGGGCGGCGGTGGGTCACCGTGCTTAACAGCGTCTTAAGTGAGGAGTGCCGCGGATCCGCCTGGCTCGGGAGCGAAAGCGAGAGAGAGAGAGAGAGAGAGAGAGAGAGAGAGAGAGGGTGTTGCTCACCTTTCAACATTGCTTTGCGTTAACTAATCTGCCCGCAGTAGTGACAGGGTTGTACATCACGGAGTAACGAGGAAAAACAACCGAAGTAATAAGAACTGCCAGCCCGAATCCGAAGGGAGTTTCAGCGCGAGACACGGACTGCTGACGTGCCCGGCTCCGCGAGCAAACTTCCAAGATTTCTCCGGGCGGTGTCTCGGGCGCAGAGTTCCGCTCCAGACACTCGGTCGAAATCGAGCACCGCTCCTCTGTCGACGGTCTCACCCGCCCGGTCCCGAGCGGGGGGGGGGCCGCGGTATTCCAGGGCACTCGCTGCTGATGGCAGTACCAGCCCCGGCCCGGCTCGGCTCATCGGCAGGAGCTGGAAGGGCACGCGACCAGTCACTGGGGGGGGTCAGGGAATCCTCCCCCCTCAGCCAAAGCCCTAACTAACAGGGAGGGTGGTCCTGAGCAAGCTGTTCTTTGTTGTTGTTGTTGTTGTTGTTGTGATCTCTCTTTCCCCGCTCCCGAAAGTTATTTCAAGCGGTGGAGTTATCCTCCGGTTGTTGACTTGTGTCCTGCCGAGCACTTCAAAAGGCCTGTCTGAACTTTACACGCACGCACACGCGCACGCACACGCGCGCGCACACGCACATATAATAGTTTTCAAACTCCCCAAAAGAGACCGTGTGTGGTTTAGGACACGGCTTGTCGAGCGACGGCCAGGATGGCGGACCTTGGTACTTGTAAGAAAGTTATCTGTCTGTGTTCTTCAGTGGAGGGAGAGAGAGAGAGAGAGAGAGAGCGAAAGAGAGAGGGAGTGAGAGAGAGAGATAGAGAGGGGGGAGTACAAGGAGCGCTTAACTCAGCCTCTCGCCGTGCGCGGGTTTCTATACACGCCGCCCAAAGAGGTTTTATTTTATTAAAATTGCGCTTTAATTGGCCTTAGATTTTTCTTTTAAGTGCACAAAAGCCATCACATTCTCCGCAGAGGAAAGCCGACGGGGCCACTGCTCTCGGCATAATTAAGTCTGCCGGCTTGACGGAGCGATAAAAAAAATAAATAACTGCCTTTTGTTCGGGGAACGTGGAAGGGCAGGTCGAGTCGAGGCGGCGAAGGATTCTCACAGAAACGTATCGCTCATCGTTTGAAGTGGCGTCAGAGAAATATGACAACTTCTGTTCGTACCTCTGGTCACCTTTTGTTAAGACGTTCGAATGGTGAGTGCTCCCGGGGATTGAATGGGGAACCATTTTTTTTTTCTTTAACGGGACACGATTCGACACAACACCTGCGTACGGTCCACGCAACACAACACACCGTTCGGATGTCCCAGAGGCGTCTTAACGACACGGGGTGGACGTCCGACCGCCCGGACACGCACGCCCCCGCTTACCCAGCAGTAAGTAGGTTGTCAGTCGATTGGCGGATGGCTTGTCCGGGGAGGGGGTGAACTTTGTGGGGGCATCAGCCTTCAGCCTGCGCTCCGAAGGAGATCCGGGGACCGGTACGCGAGCCTCGGCCGGACGTTTTGCGGAACGAACGATAGCAGCGTCCCAAAACCCGCGTCGAGTCCCATTTTACCCGCAGGCAGTTGGAAGCAGGACAGGGGATAGAGCTAATGACAAGGCCTGGCGGTCTGATTGATTCCTAACGGGGATTTTAAGGTCACGTGCGGAGGGGGTGAAGCATTTCCGCGGTTTTGCTGCTCTTTTCTACGGCCGAGAGTTATTTTTTTTTGTTAACGATCCGCCCATTCACTGCTGTGACCGTGCTTTCGGTCATCCCTCTCCGCATCACCCCCACCAACCCGCCCCCCCACCCCCCCCCACCCCACCCCACCACCCCTCAACCCCCTTCGCTCTCACCCCGCCACCAGCTCAGGTGCCAAGCCATCATTGTTAAGCGCTTTGGGATGTCCTCCCCAACATGAAATACGCTATGCAAATGCACTGTTGTCCCGTAGCGGAGTGGGTTAGAGCGCCAAGAGGACCCGGGTTCGATTCCCGGGCGGGACGAAACCTTTCGGCAAGTTTCCTTACTCCCCCACACACACACACACACCTCTGATTACTGAGCAGTAAGTAGGAACCCGGTTGTTAGTTGATTGGCGCTTGATCGCTTTCCGGGAGAAATAATCTCTCCAAATAAAGAAGGAATAATAATAATTCGGTCACTTCAACGGGGACTCCGCTGTGCGCAACCGGCTGCCGGGTTTCGCCCACAAAATGTGCTCAAGTCACTACCCTTTCTAGTATATTCTGCGAAGCGCTTTGAGACGTCTCGACGACGCGATAAGGCGCTCAATCAAACGCAAGGATTATTGCTGTATTGTGATCAACATAATTATAATAAAGAGTAATTAAAAACACAAAACAATTATGATGTAATCACAAATTTATCTCGAGTCCCTGCACGAGGGGCGCTATATAAATGCAGGTTGTTGTTGTTGGGAACGAGTGCCTCTCTTTCTCTCTCTCTCTCTCTGTGTTGTTACAGGGAGTCTGCAGATCAGGTACAGGCTGGACAGCGGGAAAGATCCCGACGTCTTCACCACAGAGACGGGGAACCTGGCCGACGGTCAACTCCACAGCATCAAGGTGGACCGCGAGGGGCCAGCCGTCAGCGTGGAGGTAAACGGGAAGACGCCGACGCTCTCCTCTGGAAGAAGCTCTCGCTTTAGAAATCGCGGCAAAGCTCACATAATCCCTCGTCAGCCGCAAGTCGCATCCGTCCGCGTTTCGCGCGACTCAGCGCACAGTCCGGGTTGCAGGCATCGACTCGAACGGTTCCTGTCTCTTTGCCGTCGAGTCCGTTGCAGACGAACAAGGCTCGGTGAGTCAACAGGCGCTGATGCGGGCGGAGGACACGTGTAACATTGACAGCCACACAACAGACGAGTTGACTGCCTGCCGGCACGACCATCAGTGAAGGTCAATAACAGGAGCTGAGTGGGAAGATTTCCTGCCGCACCCCCCCCGCCCCCCCCCCCACACGCACCCCACTCCCACCTCATCACCACCAGTGACTGGTTTCCGAGCCCCCGGCCCCGGCTCATCGGCAGGACCTGGAAGGGCAGACCAGTCGCTGGGAGCAGGGAATCCTCCGACTCAGCGTGGTTTGAGCAGGTTAGACTCCAGCAGTTGCCCCAAACACGCGCTCTGCGTTCCTCCCCCCCCACAACTCTTGGCTCTTGACAACCGCGCGTGCGTGCGTGCGTGCGTGCGTGCGGGCGTGCGGGCCTGTGCGCGTGTTTGCGTGCGCGCGCGTGCGTTGAGTGCGTGTGAACGTGTATGCGCGACTGCCTTGGCGTGCGTGGTTGTGTGTCAGTTTGCGGGCGAGAGCGCGGGTGAGTGTCTCTGCGTTTGTTTGTGAGTGTGTGTTCGTGTGGTGGGGTAGGTAGAGAGAGAGAGAGAGAGAGAGAGATAGAGACCAGTCACATTGTGTATTGGCTGCAATCAGTTTCTTGATGGTTCAATAACGAGACCAGCGTGATCTAAACTGACACCGCTCACACCCACAGCGAAAATCAGCTCGGAGACTATTAATGAATTATTAATAGCCGACACCTCAACCAGTCCACAAGCAATTACTGCTGATTATACCACTGCCGCTTGATCTAACGCTGATCTTGATATCCTTTCAGCTGGAGACTGGGAGGCTCGGAAAAGGTGGTTCATTGATCGGGGATAAAAATTCAGATGTTTGGGGTTCAATGTGTTCATGCCATATTTAATTCTACGCCGCTCCTCGTTAACTCGAAACCGTAGGCGAGTTTCCTTACTCCACGCGCCCTCTGTTTACCCAGCAGTAAGTGGGATTGGCGGATCGCTTTCTGGGGGTTAATAATCTCTCCCCCCCGCCCGCCCGCCCCCCCCCCCCCCCACTCTCCCCCCCAAAAAATGTGGTCACTCAAACCACGGCTGTTTGCGGGGACGCTGCCATGGGCAATTGGCTGCCGCGTTCCGCCCACGAACTACACAGCGAATTCACTTTACCGTATGTCCTGTGAAGCGCTTTGAGACGTCTCCAGCGCAGGGACGAGGGTTTTGATTATTATGCGACAGTGCTTTTCTCTTAACTTCTGTTAGTTTCTTCTCACAAAACGAAACACGGTGACACAACCTGCTTTAATTAGGAACAAGTTAAGGTACTCAACGCTCCAATGGCTTCTTATTTGCTTATAATACTGAGAGCCTAAGGATCTGAATTGGTAGCCGTCTTCTGCCTGTCCCTCAGCTTTCAGCCTCTCCGCCCTGAAACCCTATCACTCTCTCTCCCTCTATTCCGTCCGCCTCGCCCCTTCTTTCCCCATCTGCAGGTCGCGCCTGAAGACCTTCCTTTTCGACCGCGTCCACGGTCACCTGCCCCCTCCTTGGCATCGTGCTCCGACACCGTCAAGCGCGGGTGGGCGGGGAGGGGTGGGGGGGTGCGCTGTGTAAATGCAAGTTGTTGTTTTTGAGTCTGAATAGTTGCAGCTTAGTTTGTGATGACATCCAACCAACGACAACTTGATCTCACGAAGAATAAAGTTTCGGGGTAGTTTGTCATGTGGGGGGGGGCAGTTGGTCTGGGGGAAATGAAGGAAGTCGTGGTCGAAGAGGTAATTTATAAGCCAGGACTTCGAGGCTGGTTTGGGAGAGGTGCGAGAGACCGAGTTCCCGAGGTGAGGGGCACAGAATCGGTCCTCCATAAAAATAATCCATTGGAGCGGTGGGCGTCTGGATGGTTTTGCCCCCAATTAAGCGCAGGTTGTGAGACATGTTTCCTGTTTATTGTCTTGCAGATCGATGACCTCCCCACCATGAACTACAAGCTGTCATCTGTCACCGACTCGGCCATTAACGGACTCAGATCCCTGGTCCTGGGCAAGATTCTAGGTAATGAAATCCAACGCTTGCTTGCTTCTTTCCTTTCTACGCTCTCCTTCCCTCCCTCCCTCCCTCCACCCCTCCCTCCCTCCCTCCCTCTCTCTCTCCCTCCCTCTCTCCCTCCTCTTTCTTTCCCTAATTTCTTCCCTTCCTTCCTTTAGTGCAGCCAAAGCCCTGACAGGTAAAGCAGGGCCTGTTTTTTTAAGGACGTTACATCAAATGCAAGGATTATTATTATTATTATTATTATTACTATTGGAAAAAACGGCATCGGAAGTTAAGGCCCAATCCGACAACTTGCAAAGCTCTCGATGTCCTGAAACACCCAAGTAAATGGGACAGTCGACCAGCCTTGCATTTGATACAGCGGCTTTCATGGCGGGAGGACATCTCGAAGGGTTTCACAGGATTTAACTGAAGTGCGGTGTCAAGGGATTGCCGACACGATAGCTAACTAACTCTGTCTTTCTTCTGTCCACGGTGGGCAGATATCAGGCTTTCCCCATTGGATCGTGTTTGACAGGATTAAACTGACACGCACTTAACATATGCTCAGTAACTAACGTAATTATTGTTCCATTTGCTGCCTGTCCAGATCACACGTTGTCTGTGATGCTCAATAGTAATATCGCAGCGGCAGTCACTGAACGCTGACATTTGTAAGATTAGGATGGACGTCGGCAGCCGTCCATTCTTTTTCTCCCCACTACCAGGTTTCTCCCCTCCCCTTATCCTCTCCTCTCGTCTCTCTGCCCCTCTCTCCTCCTCTCTCTTCTCTTATTGTCCACACAGGACTTAACACCAGAGACATCGGTGGCAGAGGCACAGACATTTAACATAATAATAATAATAATAATAATCCTTGCACTCAGTGCAGCCCCTTATCACGTCGTCGAGGACCTCTCAAAGCCCTTCACAGGATATATTGCAAAGTGGATTGATCCACTGCGTCTTTTGTGGGCGAAACGCAGCAGCCAATTGCCCGCAAACAGTGACCCACAAACAGTGGCGGATTGAGCCACTCTTTCGTTTATTTAAGCAACAGGACAAATGGACCATAGGGGGTGGGGGAAGAGGTGATGTATCAGCAATGAAAAAGTAGCCTTCACGCCATTAATCTTCAACAGGGGCTCCCATTTATAAAGACACAACTGCATGTGATGGAGGGGAATTACTCATTCAGGGGAAGTGACAAGGACAAGGAGAGTGAGCTTGCTATCGCTCAGGAATAAAAAGAATGGATCCGAACATCATCATAAAATGTTCGGAGGCACCTGCACTATTTATCGCACCTCCCAACACTAACACAGGAAGCAATAAATAAACCCGGGGGCCTCTCAATCTGTCTCAGTGGGTGTCAGCCTGGCTCAGTCGATAAAATACTCTCGCCTCCGAGTCAGAAGGTTGAGGTTTCAAGCCCCCTATCCCACCCACCCACCCCCACCCGCCACCCCCCACCACCACGTCAGGCTCTCAGCGCAGTTCGACACTCCAATATAGAGTTGGGAGACAACACTGTCTGTCTGTCTGTCTGTCGGTTGAGACCTTGAACTAAGCTCCTACGTCTGTGCCTGTTCTGGCGGGGGTTAATAATACCGTGGCACTGCTCGAAAAGAGAAGTCGGGGGGGTGGGGGGAATCTCTCTCCCCTTGGCCCGGCGGACAATCGCCCAAATAAAATCGGGTCAGTTTCATTTCGTGGCTGTTTGGGGGTCACAAATTGACTGTGACCTCAAAGGTATTGAATGTACGACCTTCCGACTCAGAGGCGAGTTGTGCTATCGACTGAGCTCGGAACTCTGGAAAGCACTCGTGGAGAACAGATGATGTAACGATGGACCCCCCCAACCCCCCCAACGCTTGCGCTGTTCTTTTTGGAGGGGAGGGGCGAAATGTTGGGCAAGTTTCCTTACTCCACTCGCCTCTTGCTCACACAGTAGGAGTCCCGGTTGTTAGTCGATCAGCAGATGGCTTTTCCGGGGGTAATAATCCCTCCGAAAACCCCCTCCAAAAATAATACCTTGGGAGTGATTCAATCCATGGCTGTGTGTGTGTGTGTGTGTGGGGGGGGGGGGGGGGGTAACGCCGCTGTGCGCAATCGGCTGCCGCGTTTCGCCCACAAAAACACGCAGTCACTACACTTTGAGACATTTCGACCACGTGATAAGCCGCCGCGTCGAACGCGAGGATTCATTATTGTTAACAGAGCGTGAATTTCAGGGGTTTGACCCCCCCAACCCCACCCCTCCTCTCCCCCCCCTCCACCCCCCCCCCCCCCTCAGCCTCTCAGCCTCTCTCGGTGTTGCTCTCTCCCTCCGCAGACCCCGGGGACGTGGACCAGGAGCTCCTGATCGCCAACGGCCATGGCTTCGTCGGCTGCCTGTCCTCCGTCCGTTTCAATTGGATCGCGCCGCTCAAGGCAGGACTGCGCCACTCCAGCCCCGCCCCGGTCCAGGTCAGGGGGCGGGTGGTCGAGTCGGACTGCAGGTCGCCCATCGCGACCGAGCCGGTGGCCGTGACCACGACCACACTTTCATTGACAGGTACCTTCAGGCTCGACGCAGCACCAATAAAAACCACCACCACCAACAACAACAACGTTACATGGGTGGGGGGGGTGGGAAGCAGGGAGATCGAAAGCACGGTCCAAGTAGAGGGTCTTGAGAAGGGTCTTGAAAGTGACAAGGGTAGGTGGGGGTGTGGTGGGGGGGGGCCGGGGCTAATCTAATCTAATCCCACGGCCAGATAATCTCAGCCCTGGACTCATCGCTCCCACCTTAAGGAACCTCCATCGGTCGCGAGGAGTTTTCCATTCACGGGAGGGCGGAGGTGAGTGGGGGTTTGTTGGGTGGGGGTTTGTGGCGGGAGGGGGGGAGGGGGTGAGGTGGGAGGGGGAACTGTAATTGTGACCCAAACATTTGCTGGCGTTCTCGGCGATGATGGTGTTTGTCTTGGCAACGGTGGGGGTGGGACTGTTGTTATTGGCGATGGCGCCTTTCGCTTCGGGAGGACGTCGCAAGATTTGTCGTTGTTGTTGTTGTTGTTGATGGTGTTGATCATGTCGCTTGTTGTGTCGTTGTTCTTGGTGTTAATCTGGGACGCTACCTGCGTGGGGAGGGGAGGGGAGGGGAGGGGAGTGCGGGTGTCCCCCTATGTGAATGCAAGCTGTTGTCGTTCAAGTTGTTGGTGGTATTAACGGTGTTGACGACAGGAACGACCTGGCGGAATCCAGATAGTAATGAACGAACAGCAGTCGCTCAATGTGTTTTCTAGTGTTGTACCTCCAGCCGCACAATGTGCAGAGAGAGAGAGAGAGAGAGGGAGAATGAGAGAGAGACAGAGAGAGCGAGAGAGAGAGCGAGAGAGCGAGAGAGAGAGAGAAAAGCACACAGAATTCCAATGACTGCAATTTCAAGGGCACTTGAACATTGTAAAGAAAGAATATTTATGCTAAGTTAAGGAAAGGAGCAGGATGTCATTTCCAGATAAGGCAGAGAGGGTTGAAATTGCCTTTAAGTATTATCATTGGCTGTTGACTGCCCCCTGTGTGGAATATTCAGAGTTTGCGCCTTTCCATTGCCGAGTCCCTAACCTGAGCGCAAGCGACAGACCTGAGTTTGATTCCCGGGCGGGTAGGGCGAGGAGTTGGGCAAGTAAGTTCCTTACTCCACCCGCCTCTGTCCGGAGGTAATAACCCCTTCAAAAAACAAAAATAATAATAAAATGGTCACTCAATCCACGACTGTTCTGCGGGGAGGCTGCTGTGCGCAATTGGCGGCCGCGTTTCGCCCACGGAGTACTCAGTCACTTCACTTCGCAGTGTATCGTGTGAAGCGCTTTAGGATGTCTCGGAAGACGCGATAAGGCTCTCCATCAAATGCAAGGGTTAGTATTGCGATAATTGTTCATCGTATTCAGTGAGATTCTCGACCTGCCTGTGTCGGTAACACTCTCACATCTCTGGGTTGGAAGATTCGTGGGTTCGAACCCCACTTCCTTTGGACGAGACGTTAAAACGAGACGTTAAAAATCCCGCAGCACTACTCAAAAAAGGAGGTCATTTCCTCCCCCCTCACCCCTAAGGTGTCCTGTCTGATAATGTCCCAAATAAAATTAGCCATTCACTCCATCACTGTTTGCTCTGCAACAAATTGGTTGCCACATTCGCCCGCTAAAGTCACCACACTTCACAATATTTCCCCCGTGAAGCACTTCAGGACATCCTCACGAGACAGTGCTGCTCTCCAATGGTTTCATAATAATAATAACCCTTGCATTTGATATCGCTCCTTATCACGCCGTCGAGACGTCTTAAGCGCTTCACAGAACATACTGTAAAGTGTAGAGGACTGTGTGTTTTGTGGGCGAAACGCGGCAGCCAATTGCGCCCAGCGACGTCCCCCAAGCGGTCGTGGGTGGGAGTGAGCGGATTATTTTTATTTTGGGGAGGATGGGTGAGAACCGAATTGCCGAGCCAACCTGCCTCGTGAAAACACTTTGCGTAAACGCACCGTATAAACTCGCCCGTAACTCTGAATCACTGGGTTTGCATCTGTTACTGTTGGCAGTCAGCGTAGGCTGTGTCTGGAGGCCCAATTTCCTTCGGCCATTGAGTGTGGACAATATGTTCCCTCCGTCTTGCCAAGACTCCTTATCTGGATGTTGGAACTGAATGTAAGAAGCCTCTAAACCACGGGATTAAATCCAAAACTCAACCCCACGTTAAGGTCCACAGTTTCCCCCCTCCCCTTCCTCCCCCCCCCCCATGTTTTACCTTCACATTAGGGAAGTGTGCCAACAAGAGACACAAAAGGGAGCGCGTCATATGTGCTGATAACTTGTGTCACATGGCCGATTACTACGAGTGCGAGACTTCCGCTCAGTGTCAGCCTGGCTCGGTCTGTCGCGCTCTCACCTCTTAGTCAGAAGGTTGAAGGTTCAAGACACCTACACACACGCACGAACACACACACACACACACACGCGCACACGCGCGCACCCACACACACACACACACACACATTGGGACTCGAACTCACACAGTCGAGGCTGACAGTCCAGTGCAGTGTTGGGTGATGAGAGTGACAGTGTCAACGGGGGTCATTGTGAGAGGCGCTGTGCTTCAGAAGGGATGTTAGACCGTGGTTCCCTTCTGTACTTGTTCAGGTGTAAATAAAAGATTTGACCGACAATCCCCCAAATAAAACTGTTCACTCACTTCACGGCTCTTTGTGGCACACCCCTGTACGGCCTTGCGTTCGCTTACCAAATACACAGTTACTCCGCTTTGCAGTATATCCTGTGAAGCTCTTTGAGTGGGGGGGGGGTTCCTCCTGACTGAATGAGGCCCTATATCGAACGCAACGATTCGCATCGCCTTTCAGGTCAGGAGGACGTCTCGAAGTGCTTCGCGGGATTTGCTGTAAAGTGTGGCGACTGTGTATTTTTGTCGGCGAATGCGGCAGCCAATTTTGTGCACAGCGACGTCCCACAAGCACAAGACTAAATGACATGTGTAAAGCGCCTTTCACGTCGGGAGGACGTCCCAACACGGACGTAGACACAAAATGAACGACCGACGGTTGGCCCAAGTCACTGACACCTCCGTTCACCCTTTTCTTTTCCAATAGCACTGTGAGATCTTTACCTGAACTGGGAACCTCAGTTTCACGTCTGATCTGAAGGACACAGCGAAGGGTGGTGGAGGAAAGATCAACAGGGAGTACAGATTGAATTACTTGACACATAGCCAGCGATGGGCGTGTGGGACAGAGAGAGACAGTGGAGACCGCTGGCATCAGCAGGTGGGAATCAGATTAAGGCATTTGGTGAAGAAGCAGATTGAGGGGGTACGAGAGGATGATAAGGTGTGACTTGCTTTTAAGTTCAGGATCACCCAGGACACCACTGTCACACTCTGTCCTCTCCGTTCCGCTGAGCCTGGGCCTTGATGTGGTTTGACGTGTGTCCAGCTCTCCAGTGCCTCGTCCCATTTAAGACAACGTGGATATATAAGATCTGACATCTCCTGAGGCTGGACTCTTGGAAGATCGAATTAACGGGTAATACCTTTGCGGATTCCTGTCCTTTGCTCCCGCTTTGCGACTGCTCAAAAAAAACGGAGCAAAAAAAAGCTCGGAGTCCTGCAGCTCGGTGGTTCGGGCGTTCGCCTCGCAAGCGAGAGGACCCGGGTTCGAATCCCGGGCGGGTCGGGTCAGGGCGAAACCTTAGGCGAGTTTCCTCACTCCACACGTTCCGCGTTTCGCCCACAAAATACACAGTCACTACACTTTGCAGTATATCCTGGAAGCGCTTTGAAACGTCTCAACGACGTGATTAAGGCGCTACATTAAACGCAAGGATTATTGTTGTTATGATGGGAGGGTGGAAAGAGAGAGAAGACGTCTCTGTGCTCAAATTGCACTGCCTACAAAATGCACAGTCACTACACTCGGCCCAGGAATCGAATGCCCCGCCCCTTGATAGCCACATCGAGAAGGAAACAGCAAGCAACAACAACAAAAATCGTTATTAAACAATTCTGGGCATCGGCTGGGATGTAAGCGATAAAACTTACGCTTAGGAGTGTGCGAGAGCGAGCGGGAAAAAGAGTGAGAGAAAGAGGAAAAGAAGAGCGAAAGTGTAGGAAAGAGAGAGAGAGATAAAAGTGGAGGTCAAGGCTACAATCCCAGGAAGGCAAATACAATTACAAAAACAATAATCCTTGGATTTGATGCAGCGCCTCATCACGTCGTCGCGACGTCTCAAAGCTGTAAAATGGAGTGACTGTGTGTTTTGTGGGTGAAATAAATTGGGATTTCAAGTAGTTAATTGCCTTCATCCACTCCTTCGTGATTTCCCCTCTTCATTGTCGCTGTCTTTTCTTCAGATTGTGTGCGCGCGCGTGTGTGTGTGTTGAGAGTTTTTTTTTGTGTTGTGTTTTTTATTCCAATTTCCTTTTCCAATTACATGTCCACACGCAGCGAAAAGACGAGGCGTTGTAACATTAACTCCCGCAGTAATCGGCCCTCGAAAAGCTTTGTTGAAACGCTCCTCGTTTCAAAATGTCAAGACTCGCGTTTGTAATAAATGCCGCTTTGAAAACGATATCAGGGGGAAAAGGACGTTCGCTGAGACGAATTATTTGCGTAATTATTTCTGCCGCGAGTGGGTTGATATTCACCCGAGAGCTTTTTACGATCAGCTTGCCCCATCCCTGAGGGATGCCTGTCACACCAGGTATGTAGATCACGGGACGGCAAGGCAACTTGCAAAGACACGGCAGGGCTCCCCTATCAAATGCAAGGATCGTTAGTTATCCAAACCGAAGGCCTTTCTCTTCGACCGTTACCTCCTGACTCCCGCTCGGTTTGTTCCCTCTTTCCGCAACGTGTCCCAGTTAATGTCGCGAGCTTCAGAAAGTCGCGGGTCCAGGTCAGTCGGAGCAAATCAATTCCCTGCGGCGTACTGGGCGACCAATAACCCTTAATCTTCTCCAACTTTTCTTATCAGCCTCAATGGCAACCAATCGTCCACTGACCTTCTCTGGTCGAGTTACCTGTTGGGCTCTCCCTTGTCGCGGTGATGGCTGGTGATTTCTCAGGAGAGAATTGGGTGAAGAAAGCTCTATCGACCCTCTCAATCTCATCCGTCCTGAATACCAACTCCACCGTATTGGTTAGAGCGCTCGCCTCCATTTCCATTTGATGAGCAAAAGGAACTTGTGGGAGGGAATTTGAGTCCCGTCGCTCAGTGGTTAGAGCACTCGCCTCGCAAGCGAGAGGACCTGGGTTCGATTCCCGGGCAGGGCGACTGTTTATGGGGACGCTGCGGTGCGCAATTGGCTGCCACGTTTCACCCCACAAACTATTCACTTTCTGTGAAGCGCTTTGAGATGCCTCGAGGACTTGACCAGCCTCTGTATCAAACGCAGTGATAATTATAATTATTATTATTATTATTATTACACATCGAGTAGTAACTTAGTAAGGTCTACGTTACTCAACCTGCCTGGTTACCCCAATCCCAGATATCAATTGCCCCGCCTGTAAACAAGATACTTGCTGAAATTGCCCTTCTACTGTCCCGTGCTGCTGGCTCAGCACATCGGAGATTTCTGCTCCGAGTCTGCCTTTTGATCCGCTTATAAGAGGTCCCACCGGAGACATCTCTTTTCGAGCTGAGGAGCCCAGGCTTAGCTGTTTGTTCCCCCGCGAGCTCATCCCTGTAATAACCGGGGATCAGCCCTCGATGCTCTCCTCCGTAGCGGGCATTGGCATTTATCCTGAATCCAGACACCGCCAAGTCGGCTTTCCTCTTAGAGTCAACAATAAGAGAATGATCCTCGCATTTGATACAGCGCCTTATCACGTCGTCGAGGTGTCTCAAAGCGCTTCACGCAATATGCTGTAACGTGTAGTGACTGCATATTTTGTGGGCGAAACGTGACGTCCTACAAACAGTCGTGGATCGAGCGACCACATTTTTTTCAACGGATTATTACTCCCGGAAAGGGATCCGCCAATCGACTCAACCGGGTTCCTACTTACCGCTGGGTAAATAGAGGCGCCCGCACGCACGCGCATGTGTGTGTGTGTGTGTGTGGAGTAAGGAAACTTGCCCAACACTTCGTCCTGACCTGACCCGCCCGAGAATCGAACCCGGGTCCTCTCGCTTGTGAGGCGAGCGCTCTAACCGATGAGCCGCGGGAACGCCACTAATTTTCTGGGGCGGTTGGTTCGGGAATGGGGTGGGGAACGCAAGTGGGATGGGGGAGAGGACGGGAGAAGCACAGCAAGCCTCATTCTGTGCAATGGCAATAGCACCAGTGAATCATTGTGGGTTCTAACGTCGTCTGTTAAAAAGCAAAAAAATTCCTCTTTATTCCGGTTTTCGTTCGCAGGAAATCAAACCAACTTTCCACTTTCGCCCGACTAATCCCTCTCAAAAAACCCCAAGGATTGTAGATGAATTATTTAAGCACACGTAATATATGTGCACCACACATGGTGTATGTATGGAAGGCATGATTCTGTGCGGAGATTTATGGCGCAATTGCATTGATGTATTAAAACCCATAGATTTGCAGATATGAAGGGTGTAATAAGAAGGGATATAATGCCATTATAAATTTTTAACCATTACATACGAATATTTCGGTTCCTTGAATCTTGATACTGTGATGTATAGCCGTTTTTAACCGTCGGGATCAGCCGGGCTCAGTCGCCAGCTCTCTCGCCTGCGAGTCAAAAAAAAAAGGCTGGTCCAACTGGCGGCCCGCGGGCCACATCCGGCCCAGGGGATGATTTCATCCGGCCATCAAGCAATCACAGGCGGCGACGCAGGCCCTGAGCCAATCGGCAAGCAAGTCACTGGGGGCTCAGGCACTGCCGGGCAACGGGACTGAAGCAATCGGGGTTCGATTCCCGGGCCCTCTCGCTTGCGTCTGCGAGCTCTTAACCGCTCCCCTGCAGGGCTCTATTATCCCGATTCTATTGTGGCTTGGCAAAGGGAGGGTGGGCATGCGGGTGGGCTGGTGTTTTGCACTGTCCTGGCCCGCGTCCGACAGACACTGTGAGGCCTGTAACTCGGCTGACTGGCTGTGGCGTCAGCCCGTGTGTGGCATCGCGTTCAAAGTCAATCGCAACACAAAGGCTGACGCAACGAAGCCAAACAGACGCTCAGGGAACTGGCAGTGTGCTGCAGGTGGGTTTAATGCCAAGTCCTTCCAGGTGTGGCTTTCGGACCTGCTGGGATTGATGGCAGGAATGCCTCGTTTCCCTTTGCCAAGCCTAGGGAACCTAGGAACAGGAGGAGGCCATTCAGTCCCCCGAGCCTGTCCCACCATTCCATCAGATCACGGCTGATCCAATCTTTCCCGCTGCTTGTCCAGCTCGGAACACCCTACCCTCGAGGGCTTTGGCTTGCAGGGTTAACAGGAGCTGAGGGGGAGGATTCCCTGACCCCTCAGTGACTGGTCGGCCCTTCCAGGTCCTGCCGATGGGCCGGGCCGGGCCGGGCTGTGCTGCCATCAGCAGCGAGTGATCTGGAATACTGCGGCCCCTCCTGGCTCAGGAACCATCAGAGAGCGTTGACTCGATTCCAACCTTCCGTTGCCAAGTGCATCACCTCGGAGCCCTCTCTTACCACTCCTCCCCCTTCCCTCCCCCCCCCCCCCCCCCATTCCCCCCTCCCCAACACTCCCTACTTCCCAGGGGGACAAAATCTCTCTTGAGACGCGAAGCGAAATTTGCAAATTCTTCTGCTTCTCCTCACTCGAGATTGACAGGCGGCGAGACTTTGACAGACAGTGATTGACAGAAGTGGGGGGTGGGGGGGAGGAGAGAGGGGTGGGGGGGGGGGGCGGCGGGGAGTGCAAGGTTGGTGTGTTGTGTGGGGGAGCTGGCGGAGCGCTGGACACTTGCGCGCGTATCGCTGCGAAGAGGATGTCAACGTGACAAGTTAGATCAAGCGAATGATTGATCGAAACTTAAGACCGTCTCTGTCGTGTCCCAGTCAATGACGATCTCCCGAGATCTGAGGATGACATTATGACATTAAGAAAATAATGGAGCTGTGAAGGAGTGGGTGGTGGTGGTGGGGGGGGTGTGTGGGGGCAGGAGGAGAGGGAGAGGGAATAGGATCAGCGCGCAGACAATTTAAGAGTCTTGACAAGGTTATACCTTTGTCAGTCACAGCAGCTCAGTCTCCGAAGCCAAGCGAGTCTCTCTCTCTCTCTCTCTCTCTCCCTCTGTCAGGCGAGAGAGGGTCGAGCGAGATGGAGACGAGGGGTCGGGGGGGGGGTTTCGATCGCTCGCGGGGACGCCGTTCAAGGAGAGTGGGCGCCCGGGGTACGGTGAACCAGCGGCAGAATCCCGCACGCGGCCACAATCCCGGGCGGCGAAGGACTCTCGGCGTCACTGCACTTTGTCGGTGCCACCGACCGCGAAGTCGCGCGTAACGCGGCCGTTTCCGTAATCGCTGCCACTAATCGGAACCCGGAAACAGGAGGAGGACATTCAGCCCCTCGAGCCTGTTCCGAACACGCTGTCAGATCGTGGGAACTGTACCCCAGTTACCCACCTTTGCCCCGTATACCCTGATCTGACAGACATCTATCTCCCCATAATAATATAGTAACAGTCCTTGCATTCGTCGCAGGGAATCCCAATGCGCTTCACAAGGTGCACTGTTATATTTGAAGACTGGGATCCAGAATACTGAGAGAGAGACAGAGAGAGAGAGAGAGAGAGAGATTCCCTTCTCTTTTCGGATAGCGCCACAGGACGTCCCGCAAAATACACAGTCACTTTTGAGGCGTCTCGACGACGCGATAAGGCGCTGTGTGTCAAACGGAATGACCATCTACTCGAACGAGCAGACGGGATCTCATCCGACGGACGGCACCTACGACAGCACTCTCCCCCCTCTCCCCCCTCTCCCTCCCCCCCACCCCAGCGCTACGTTGGAACGTCAGCTTAGACTGTGTGTGTGTGTGTGTGGAGCCTCGGTGGCACACGTTATTTACATCAGAGCCCCCTCACACCCCCACCCACCCCACCCACGTGAGATTAATCACTGTGAGAGCACCGCTCACTCATAACGCGCTGGGATATCGCCTTCCCCCACTGTGCAATGTACCCCGAGCTGATTTCCAGGCAGCTGTTTGTTTGCAGCTCAACTCCCCGCTGACAGGAAAGCCGTGGGATTCTTTTGCCTCCATCATCCCGAACTCCGTTTGATTTTACAGTACCGAGCGGATGATTTCCCTGCTCTTACTCTGCAATTTATTTTGACTTTATTTTCGCCCACAAAACACACAGTCAGTTCGCTTTACAGCGTATATCCCGTGAAGCGCTTTGAGACGTCTCAACGACGTGATAAGGCTCTGTGTCAAATGCAAGGATTATTATTATTAATATTAATATTATCAATATTATATTTACTGCCATAAGGTGAGAGCTGGTTGAGAATTTCTTTGTGTGTGTGTGTGCAAAACCTGCCACCTTTCCTCTTTTCGGACACTGATTGTGCGATAAAATACCAATTTACATTTAGATAGAGATTTCCACATCGGAGGATGTTCCTCGGATGGATAAGAATCCAGATTTAGCTGAGGGTTGTGGGGTGGGTGGGGGGGGGGTGGGGGGGATTGGGACCTGTGGAGAGAGGGAGGGAGGGGGCCGAGGGAGAGAGGAAAGACGCCCGAAAGCACTTTCGTCCAGGTAGGTCTTGAGGTGGACCTCGAACGAGGTGAGGGGAAATAATCGACGGCGTTTTAACCCAACGGGGTGTCCGCTTGTATCGCAGACCACACAAAGCCCAGTGACGGAGAGGAACCTTCACAGAACGCGGTGAGGAGCGACACAGCAGTGATCGGAGGTAAAGGACAACCCCGAAAGCCTTGTTCGGTTTCGCTTTTTGCGTCCGCTCGACCCAGTCGGTAGGTGGCTCGCCGAGCGCCCCCCACCCCCGCCGCCCCCCCCCCCCCCACCCAAGTCGGAAAGGACGTGGGGTTTAAGCCCCACATCGGGACGTTGGCGAGAAGCCCTTCCAGCGTCAGCATTTAATTCGTCCAGTCAATCAGCCAATCAATCGATCGATCGATCGACCGATCAATTAATTAATCAATCAATCAAGCAATCGGCCGCCGCGCTTGGGGCCCCGCAAGACGCGCAGTCACTCCGCCTTGCGGTACATCCGTGCGAAGCGCTTTCTGGCGCTGTGTCGAACGCACGGATCATCAATATTATTGTTGTTGTTAAAAACCAATTGAAGAGCCATGACTTGTCTCCAGTTAACCTGTTCCCCTCCCCCCCCCCCCCCATCACACCCCCTCCCCTTCTCTCCCACCTCCCCACCCTCCCCTCTCCAGGTGTGATCGCAGTCACGGTCTTCGTTGTCCTCTGCCTCCTGGCCATCTCCGGCCGTTTGCTGTATCAGCGTAAGGGGGGTGCGTACCGGGAAAGCCAGAGCAAGGCAGCCGAGTACAGTGAGCCGACAGCCCCCAACCCCCCTCACCACAGAGCAAACTACCCGGACCCCATGAGCGACGGCAGGAGGGAATTTTTCATCTGAGAGCAACCAGTTTCCCCCACCCCCACCCACACCCACACCCCCTCTCTCTCTCTCCGCCCCTCTCTCCCCCACTCTCTCTCTCTCTCCTTTCCCCCCCCCCTTGGAGTCGAGGTACAGCCACAATCTAATAGGATGGCGGAACAGGCCGGAGGGGCTGAATGGCCTCCTCCCGTTCCTAGATAGATGTGTGTGTGTGTATATATATATATACATATAAATTTTCTCGGTCCTCCTCCTCTTTACCACGAGACACGGCGGCGGATTTCACGCCCACGGAGCCCGGACTCGCTCACCCCTTCTGGCCACGGAAGTCTCCGGAAGACGACAAGAACAACGCTGAGCTCGGAGAAACCCCGGGACAAAAACAAAAAAAAAATGCCGACCGGACCTTTTATACTCGGGTCACTGAGCGGGACTGGGGGTGTGGGGTCGGTGGGAGGTGGGGTGGGTGGGGAGGTGGGTGTTGGGGGTGGAGGGTGGGTGGTGGGGGGGGGTTTAGAGAGAAATATAATCTCCTGTTAGTCACCTCAGGGGAGAATAGGGACAGGAGAGACCTTAAAGACCGTGGCCTGGAATGTGGTCTGACCAAAGTGGTCTCCAATCCGGTGTAAAGCGTTAAAAAAAACCCTAATCGGATATTTGGTTCATGTTCACTTAACTTTTTTTTTCTTGGTTCTGTGTTGTTGGGGGGCGGTGGGGGTGTGGGGGGGGTTGGGGGAGGGGGAAATGGGGGGGAATGGGGGAACGGCAGGCCGGGATGGGGGGGACGGGAGTGTCAGGGATCATTCCCTGTGTTTCACCAAGTTAAGAGCTGGTTAGAGTGGGTTAAGTTAACTCGCGCACTGCAGTGGATGTTGAGGAGGGGGCTTTGTGAGCCTATTTTACGGGGTTTTAAGGCGTTGTTAAGATGGTTTCCGCGTGTGGATGGGTGGGGGAGTTGGGGGTGGGCGGTGGTGGTGTGGGGGGGTGGCGTGCGTTCCCTTCTCTCTACGCCCTATCCGTCCGGAGCCCGTTGATTTACAGACCGACTCCGGGATTGAGGGAAGGAATAATTCGACGACCTTCGATGTGGAGCGATCCATCTTTATCGAGAGAGAGAGAGAGAGAGAGAGAGAGTGTGTGTGTGTGTGTGGGAACCCAAAACATAGCGTTATATAGGGGTTCGTGCAACACAATACACCTACTCGAGACATTGGAGTCCTGTAGCTCAGGGGTTAGACCACTCTCCTCGCAACCAAGAGGACCCGGGTTCGATACCCGGGCGGGTCAGGTCTGGGCGAAAGGTTGGGCAAGTTTCCTTACTCCACACACACACACGCGCGCGCCTCTACCAGGGAGTAAGTAGGTTGTTAGTCGATTGGCGGATCACTTTCCGGGTGTAATAATCACTTCAAAAATAATAATAATAAGAAGAAGAAATTGGTCACTTCAATCCACGGCTGTTTGTGGTGGACGCTTCTGCGCGCAATTGGCTATCGCGTTTCGCCCACAAAACGCGCAGTCACTACGCTTTACAGTATGTGCTGTGAAGCGCTTTGAGACGTCTTGGAGACGTGATGAGGTGCTGTGTCGAACGAGAGGATTATTACTATTAATCATTATTACATTGGCACCCAAACCATGATTGTGTGGCAAAGCTCTTGCGCTCTCTCTCTCTCTCTCTCTCTGTCTCTCTCTCTCTCATCTCTCTCTGATCAATTCCCGTCCATTTTAAGTTCCCTCCGATAGAATTCCTCTCCGTCGCTGCTCTGCAGCAACGCTGTGAATACAGAGATCTATATACATACTGTACAGAAAGAGGTAGGGTTACCATGGCAAGGCTTCTCTCTCTGCCGGTTTGACCCAACTTAGCGTCTAAAATGAAGAGATTCCTTTAAGCCCTAAATATAACTGGGGATGTTATAAATCATTGGCACGACCGCCAGTTGGAATATTACGTCCCGTTCTGGTCGCCTCAGCCTTTGAGGGAATACAGACGAGGACAACCAGAACGATGAGGTTAAACTGAACATGTTCACGCTGGGGAAGAGATGGGTGCGGGGCGACATGATTACGGGCTTCAGGATTCTACGGCGACTGGATAACGTAGACCGTCGATAAGCTGTTTTATCTTGGTCCACAACGGTAGAGCCAGAGGACACGGCCTGCGATTGAAAAGGGGGGAAGGTGGGGGTAAAATTCAGAACAAATCCGCGGAGGCACTATTTCACTGAGCAAGTCGTAAACGTAAAGAACAGGGTCCTCTGGGGAGATGGACGGTGGAAGCAGAAAGCGTTGAGATAGATATCTGTTGGGAAATAATTGGAAAGGGTGGAAATAGTTTGGGGCACGACCTGTGCAAGCGACTGCCAGGATGGTGGAAGGAGGACTGGATGGACCCCGTTCTTCTTTCGTCCGGCAAATTCTTATGCTCTTACGATGTGGCCTCAAGTCCTGCTGGCCAGCGGGTCCGGGGGTCTGGTCTATCATCGTCAGGAATGCCCAAGTGGAACGACTTGGGGCTCACCCTTTCTCTCTTCCCTTGGGGGAAGGGGAAGCGTAGTTAGGGAGGCGGGAGGGAGTGGGGGTGGGGGGGGGAGACGGGAGCGACAGATATCCGGTTGGCAGCCAGAAGCAGCCATTTTGTATCCCACGGTAGTAGTCATTCAGGAATCTCGTTAAGAAACGCCACGATTCTTAGACCCCGAAACACATACGACAGTAAGCCGCACCGAGGTCACGTCCATCGGGGACCACTTGATACGACTTATCAGACGCTCAGCACGACTCGTGCGAAGTCTTGAGTCGCGTCAGAGTTGCGGAGGATCTCAACCCTCGAGCCGGAACGAGGGCGTTCAAGTGTACCACTTGGGGCCGTTGTACGATCGACTCCCAACCGGACTTGCGCCAGTTTCTAACCGCGCTACACCCGCTCACAGGTTCGCACCGGTCTGGCCAAGGTGTCGGGAGCGACGCACAGTCGTCGGCGCTGCGCGGTTACTGTAGCGTTCCCGTTATCCCCTGCCCTAAGCGACGCGAGGGAGCGCGATAGGAAGATTCGCCGTGCACCACCTCCGCAAAAAAAAGGCCCCCCCCCCCCCTCCACCCTGTGTTTCCTCCTGAATTAAACAGCGCCACTCATCAATACAACATCGATCGTTTTTTTCCCCCACCCACCCACCCACCCACCCATTTCATCGTGTGTCCGCACCCTCTGTTTCCTCCCCAAATAACGACCGACAAACACTTTTTTCCACCAGGTCAAAGAGTGGGGAGGGGCGGGGGTGTGGGAAGGGTTGGGGGGGGGGTGTTGGTAACTCGGACCCTGGTGATGTTTGTATATAAAGTATATAAATATATATATATATATAAAGTTTAAAAGAAACACAAGCTTTTTAGAAGACCTTAAAAAAGGGGGTCCTGTTTTATTTCCGGCTTTCCTGTTGAAAAGGCGCAAGGGTTCGAGCCGCGGCGTCGGAGGGAAGGTCCTCGCCTTCGGTCTTGTTTTTAATCGGCTGCTCGTTTTCTACGCGGATGGCGGATGAGTAAAAGGTGGAAGCACTTTGCTCGGGCTGCGTTCAAATGGACTCTGGTTTCCGGTTTGAGGCCGGAATCGAAATGATTTCTCCCCCTCACGCCCCCCCGTCCCCGCCCCCCCCCACCCCCAACACTCCCTCACCCCCCCCCCTCCCCCCCCACCCACCCCTCCTTTCCAGCACCGAAACAACTTGTAGATTTTAATAAAAACCACACATTCTGTGACTCTTGGTGCCATGTGGCAAGTCCGTCTGTCCGTCCAGCCCACGCGATTGGATGCCACTTTAGGGCCAAGGCGAGCGTCCGGAATCCTTTCGGAGTGCGTGTGCCTGCGTTTGTGTGCGCGCGTGTGTTGTGTGTGTGTGTGTGTGTGCGCACGCGTGTGTGCAGGTAGGAGCCGCAGTCCTTTGATAGAGACGTTAAACCGAACCTCCAAGTCTGTGCTCTTGGCCGGATGGACAATAGAGATCTCGCGGCGCTATTCGGAAAGAGACGGGAATTTTTCTCTCTCTCTCCCCCTCTCTCTCTCTCTCTCTCTCTCTCTCTCCCTCCCTCTCTCCCGGTGTCCTGGCCGTCAATCCCACGAGATAAAACCCGATGTTTGTGGGACATTTTCTGCCGTCCGCAAGTTGACCTCTGCGTTCTTCTGCACAACGCACCACATCTCAACCTGAAGGACCTCACGCGAGTGTTGAGTCGGTATCGGAATCGGCATCGGACACTACGCTTCACAGTGGACCCTTTGAGATGTGCTCCCGATGTGAAAGGCGTTGTATCGAATGCAAGGATTGTTATCGTTATTTATTATTTATTATCATATCTGAACGCAGGTAGGGAGAGATTAGGAAGTCTCTTTCGTATTACACAGAAGAGTTGTTCGATACCTGACCACAAAAGGGGATTCAAGCAAGATTTACACAGCGTTCCCCTCAACCGGGTTGGTTGGCGTCTCGGAGTGCTGGACAGTGGCCGAGCAAGCCGTCAAGCCAGGGGGGGGTGGGGGGGGGTAGGTGACCGTAAAGCACGGTCGAAGAGGAAGGTCTTCGGGTGTGATCTGAACACGGGCGAGGACAGTGGGGTCGAGGGGGCAAGGCGGAGGGATCGAGGCAGAGAAGTTCCAGAGTTTCGGGGCGTAGTGGCTGAAAGCCCGACCTCCGATGGTGGAGCGGAGAAGACGACGGGCGAGCAGGGGGGGGACAGACCAGAGCCGGCTGAGGCAGGTGAAGAAGAGCCCCTGTGATTCAATTCTTCCTAAATCCCTGCCCTGTTATCCTCTCGTCACAGCTGGTTCTCGAATGAGCCCAGGATCCTGGTCTCAATTCCCCCTCCCGAGTAAACCACTGTTTTAGTGATGTTTCGCCCCCCAAAAAATACACAGTCAATTCGCTTTACAGTGTGTTCTGTGAAGCTCTTTGGGACAGGCTAAGACCTTGTACCAAAGTCGAGGTTTATTATTAATATAATCCCTGTAACAGGCACTGATCGTCAAGAATTTACATCGATACGGCGCTTTCGT